ACTCACCGTCACACTCACACACACTCACTCACACTCTCTCACTCTCTCTCACACTACACACAACTCTCTCACACTCACTCACACTCTCTCACACTCACTCACACTCTCTCACTCTCTCTCACAACGCACTCACACTCTCTCACTCTCTCTCACACTCACTCCCTCACATCACAAACTCTCACACACTCTCGCACACTCTCTCACACTCTCTCACACTCTCTCACACACTCTCACACTCTCTCCGTTCTCACTCACACTCTCTCACACTCTCTCACACTCCACTCACCTCTCTCACACTCTCGCACAACTCTCACACACTCTCTCACACTCTCACACACTCTCTCTCACACTCTCTCACACTCTCTCGTCTCACTCACACTCTCGCACACCTCTCACACACGCTCACATCTCTCAGTCTCACTCACACTCTCTCACACACTCTCTCACACGCTCACACACTCTCACACACTCTCACACACATTCTCTCACACTCTCTCTCACACTCTCTCGTTCTCACTCACAGCTCTCCTCACACTCTCTCACACTCACGCGCACACTCCTCTCACACTCCTCTCACCTCTCACATCACTCTCTCACAACCGCCTCACAACACATCTCATCTCACATCTCTCTCACACTCTCTCACACTCTCCTCACACTACCTCTCACACTCACATCAACACTCGCACACATCTCTCACACGCTCACAAACTCTCACACTCTCTCACACTCTCTCACACTCACACCAACTCGCTCACTCTCTCACAACTCTCACCTCTCTCACACACTCTCAAACTCCTCACACACACGCTCTCACACTCTCGCACACGCTCTCACACTCTCTCACTCTCTCTCACAAAAACTCTCACACTCTCGTCACACTCACTCACACTCTCTCTCACACTCTCTCACACTCTCTCACACTCACTCACACTCTCCTCACTCTCTCTCACACTCTCTCACACTCTCTCACACTCTCTCACACTCTCGCACACTCACTCACACCTCTCAACTCTCTCTCACACTCTCACACTCTCTCACACTCTCACACACTCTCTCACACTCTCTCACACTCACTCACACTCTCACACACTCTACTCACACTCTCACACACTCTCTCACACTCTCACACACTCTCTCACACTCTCACAACACTCTCTCACACTCTCACACACTCTCTCACACTCTCTCCACCACTCACTCTCTCACACCTCTCTCACACTCTCACACACTCTCTCACACTCTCACAACACTCTCTCACACTCTCTCGAACGTCTCTCCACTCTCACACACTCTCTCACACTCTCTCACACTCTCTCACACTCTCTCACACACTCTCTCACACTCTCTCACACTCTCTCACACTCTCTCTCACACACTCTCTCACCTCTCTCACACTCTCTACACACTCTCACACCTCTCTCACACTCACTCACACTCCTCTCTCACACTCTCTCACACTCTCTCACACTCTCTCACACTCTCTCACACTCCTCACACTCTCTCACACTCTCTCACACCTCTCTCACACTCTCTCACACTCTCTCACACTCTCTCACACTCTCTCTCACTCTCTCACACTCTCTCTCACTCTCTCTCACACTCTCTCACACACTCTCACACTCTCTCTCACACTCTCTCACACTCTCTCACACTCTCTCACACTCTCTCACACACTCTCACACTCCTCACACTCTCTCACACCTCTCACACTCTCTCACACACTCCACACTCTCTCACACACTCTCACACTCTCTCACACTCTCTCACACTCTCTCACACTCTCTCACACTCTCTCACACTCTCTCACTCTCTCTCACACTCTCTCACACACTCTCACACTCTCTCTCACACTCTCTCACACTCTCTCACACTCTCTCACTCTCTCTCACACTCTCTCACTCTCTCTCACACTCTCTCACACTCTCTCACACTCTCTCACACTCTCTCTCACTCTCTCACTCTCTCTCACACTCTCTCACCACTCCTCTCACACTCCTCTCTCACACGCTCTCTCACACTCTCTCACACTCTCTCTCACACTCTCTCTCACACTCTCTCACACCTCTCACTCGCTCACACAACTCTCACACACTCTCACACTCTCTCTCACACCTCTCTCTCACACTCTTCCCCTCTCGCACACTCTCTCTCACACTCTCACACTCTCTCTCACACCTCTCACACTCTCTCACACTCTCTCTCACACCTCACACTCTCACACTCTCTCTCACCTCTCTCTCACACTCTCTCTCACACTCTCTCTCCACACTGCTCTCTCACACTCTCTCTCACACTCTCTCTCACCACTCTCTCATCACACTCTCTCTCACACTCTCTCTACACCTCTCTCACCCTCTCTCACTCCACTCTCTCTCTCCACACTCTCTCTCACACTCTCTTCACACTCTCTCACTCACACTCTCTCACACTCTCTCTCAACTCTCTCTCACACTCTCTCACACTCTCTCTCACACTCTCTCTCCACACTCTCTCTCACACTCTCTAAACTCTATCCACTCTCTCTCACACTCTCTCTCACACTCTCTCACACACTCTCTCTCCACTCTCTCACACTCTCTCACACACTCTCACACTCTCACACCTCTCTCACACACTCTCTCACACACTCTCTCACACTCTCTCTCACACTTCTCACACACTCTCTCACACTCTCTCACACACTCTCTCACACTCTCTCACACTCTCTCACACTCTCTCACACTCTCACTCACACTCACTCACACACTCTCTCACACTCTCTCTCACACTCTCTCACACACCTCTCACACTCTCTCACACTCTCTCACACACTCTCACACTCTCTCACACTCTCTCACACACTCTCACACTCTCTCACACTCTCTCACACTCTCTCACACTCTCTCACACTCTCTCACACTCTCACACACTCTCCACACTCTCACACTCTCACACTCTCACACTCTCCACACTCTCTCTCACACTCTCTCACACTCTCTCTCACACTCTCACACTCTCTCACACACTCTCACACTCTCTCTCACACTCTTCTCACACCTCTCACACTCTCTCACACTCTCTCTCACACTCTCACACTCTCTCACACACTCTCTCACACTCTC